TTTCTCTGTCACCCGGAACTCTGTGCCCTTCTTGCCTTGCTTTGCCTAAATAACTCTCTTAGCACAGTGTGTGTGCTCCGGTAACACTGACTTGGTTTAAAGGGCACAGGGCTGTGTTCCCCAGGACTGTTTGCTCTTCAGCTCTTTCCCGCAGTGAGTGAGCTGTGGCGATCAGCATTCACGGGTTTATAACGTTTCCCTGTGTGGTGGGCACTAGCATTCTTGGGCAGGTGGCTTGTGTCCCACATTCTGCAATCACCAACAATGCTGTTAGGGCCTTTCGTGGGACCGTGAGCATCCTGCTGGGACCCTGGGAGTGGAGTAGCCAGAACGAGCTTGTGCTAGAACATACTTCTACCACCAGCAAGCCTGTCTGGGTTTCATTTGGGTTTTGTTTGTTTGTTTGAGGAGTTTTATATGAGTGTGGTTTTGAGAAAAGGTCTTACTATACAGCCTTGGCTGTCCTGGAACTCACTATGTAGACTTAGGCTGGCCTAGAACTCACAGAGATCCACCTGCCTCGGCCTCCCAAGTGCTGAGATCAAAGGCATGTGCCACCAACCTGGCCTGGTTTTAATTGTTCAGATATATATATATATATATATATATATATATATATATATTCTTCTTTGTTGCTGCCTTCTTTTTTTTTAAGATTTATTTATTTATTTATACAGTATCCTGCCTGTAGGCCAGAAGAGGGCATCAGATCTCATTATAGGTGAGCCACCATGTGGTTGCTGGGAATTGAACTCAGGACCTCTGAAAGAACAGTCAGTGCTCTTAACCGCTGAGCCATCTCTCCAGCCCTATTGTTGCCTTCTTATGTTTTGTTAGTTTTGAGGCCTATGTAGCTTAGGCTGGCCTGGAACTCACGATCTTCCTGTTCTCAGCCTCCCAAGTGCTGAGATTACAGCCTGCACCACTGCGCCAAGCTAAGCCTGCTCGTTGTTTCGGTTTTGTCTCACTGATAAAATCAGTCTTCTCTGAAAAGGACAAAGGAAAATATCAAACACTCCTGGTCACATGACCTCCTGATCAAGGATCTTTCTTGAATGTTACACCTAAACAGCTGGAAGTGGGTGGCCCACAAGGGGACTGCAGGAATGATTATCCCAGCTCCTCTGGGACAGCCAAGAATAGTCTCTCCAGAGACCCACATACATTACACCCATGGTCCCTGGCAAGGTAGAATCTGAGTGAAGCCCTTGTCATCCACCCATAAGACTCTTTCTCCGCCATCACTTTGTCTCATGAATTACTGGCATCTTCATTCATGGGTGGCTTTGGACCCAAACTCTGAATAGTCACATATTTGTTTATACCAAGTGCCTGAGTCCCTTACCCTCTTACTGTTGACTATACCCTTGACAACATTTAACAGTGTTAGATTGTGTCAATTTGTGTAAGATGGTGTCTCCTGGTGGCCTTGACTTCCTTTTGCTTGTTTCCTTCCCAAGCCCTTTCCCTGGAGCTGTGTCTCTTGGGAACACAGAATCCATGTGTCTTCTTTCTGCATTTAATCTTAGTATCCTTACTTTTTCTGTATGGTTTTTTTTTTTTCTTTTTTTACAGATTACCTGTCTGGTCGCGCTGACACCTGCCTGTGATCCTAGCATGGGAGGGGGTAGAAGGATCAGAAGTTCTAGGCCAAGCTGGGCATGACAGTGCACACCTGTAAATGGCAACACTCGGGAGGCAGAGGCAGTTAAGTCTCTGAGTTTGCGACCATCCTGGTCTACACATCGAGCTCCAGGACAGCCAGAGCTACACAGAAAAACCCTGTCTCAAAAAACAAGCAAATAAACAAAAAGGAAAAACAAAAGAAAGGAAAGGCCAGCCTGACCTCCATAGTGAGTTTGAGCTCAGCCGGGGCTCTGTGAGACAATGGCAAAACACAATAATCCACTCTCTTGGGAATCATCTGGGCCCATGGATGCCATATGCCATATGCCATATGAATCTCTGTCAAGGCCAGGTCTCCAAGTCACCTTCCACTAGCCCTTTCTGCCAGCATCAACCACACTTAAATCCTACACAAACCACAGCACTGATATCAATGTCTCGACAACCCACCGAGGACTTCTGTCCGGTGCAGCACTCTTTCCTCTTGACTTCCACGCTGCTCTCTGGGGTTTCAGATCTGTCTGTCTTTAACATCACAAACAAAGACACTATTTCACACCCGTGAATGTAAGGGACCACGTTACACCCAGTGTCCTATGCTCACCATTCCTTCTTTTTTTTTATTTATTTTTTTAAATTTTTATTTATTTATTAAAGATTTCTGATTCTTCACCATTCCTTCTTGTGTCTCAGCGTGATATTCTGGAATCCCTTTCCATGTTGAAATATGCTCTTCCTAAAACGCCAGTTAGATTGTTCTCAGCTTTTATTGACATTTAAATGTTAGAAGAAATGGATTTTCCTTCGGGTCTTAGTTCACGAAAGGGCTGTTTGCTGCAGGCAATTCTAGCTAACATTTCCTTGTTCTCCTCTCTGTGGGGCGTCGTTGCGGTCTCTCAGCCCGTGGTTGCTAAGCAGAAGCTCAGCTAGGCCGTGCATACTGTCTGTCTTGTCCTTTCTCAGTGACTGCTTTCCTCACTTCTCCAGATGTGTAAAACACGACTTCATTTTCACATGTGCTGCTTGAGACGCGCCGTACTCCCTGGTTCTGTGGGTCTGCTTCTCATCGCTTCTGGAAAACCTCTAACTCTTGTGTTCATTTCATTCCTCTGGTTTCCGCTTCTGGACTCCACTGTGAGGTTTTCTGATTCTGCTCTCTGGGCCTCTGTCACTCTTCCCGTATTTCATGCAGTGGCTCTGTCACCGTGTAAACAGTTCCCAGCTCACACCTTCATTCCCCTGTGGATTGTCTGTTGAATTTTAGATTTTAGAATTAGCCGGGTCATGGTGGTGCATGCCTTTAATCTCAGCACTCGAGAGAGAGTCTAGCCTCTGTGAGTTCGAGGCTAGACTGATCTACAAGAGCTAGTTCCAGGACAGGTTTCAAAGCCACAGAGATACCCTGTCTTGAAAAGAAAATAAATAAATAAAACAAATAAAAAGCAAAATAGAATTTTTTTTTTTGGTTTTTTGAGACAGGGTTTCTGTTGCTCCTCTCCCTTCCCTTCTTCTTCTTCCTCTTCCTCCTTCTTCCCCCACCATTTTTACTTGTCTTACTTATGTGCACTTCCTGTCATTGAAGCTTTTATGTCTTTAAGCATCTCCCATGGCCTCTCAGTATTCCATTGCTCTTCCTTTCCCTTCGGTGGCCTGCCCCTCACGGTGGCTCACCTCTTGTGATTTAGGAAGATAAATTTGAAAGCTTTTGATTTGATATTACTCGCAGATAAAATCCTCCTGACATAACCTAGGGATGTTTTCCTCCAGGTTGAGACCATTACCAGTCTCTTACAGAGGTTTTCCCAACTCAGAACCACCCCAGCTCCCTGGGAGCTTAATTTGAGAGGAGACTCGCCTTCCCGACCTCCCTACCCTGAGGTTCCCCAAAGTTCACTACCACTACATGGGAAAAATGCTTTAAGAAACCCTGTCCCTTGGGGCTGGAGAGATGGTTCAGAAGTTCAGAGGTTAAGAGCGCTGACTGCTCTTCCAGAGGACCCCAGTTCAATTCCCAGCACCCACATGACAGCTCACAACTGTCTGTATCTCCAGTTCCAGGGGATCCAATACCCTCGCACAGACATACATGCAGCCAAAACACCAATGTGCATAATACACAAATAATAAATTATTAAAAGAAGGAAGGAAGAAAAGAGAAAGAAAGAAGAGAGGGAGGGAGAAAGGGAGGGAGGAAGGGAGGGAGGGAGGGAGGGAGGGAGGGAGGGAGGGAGGAAAGGAGGGAAGGAAGGAAGGAAGAGAGAGAGAGAGGGAGGGAGAGAGGGAGGGAAGGAAGGAAGGAAGGAAGGAAGGAAGGAAGGAAGGAAGAGAGAGAGAGAGAGAGAGAGAGGGAGGGAGGGAGAGAGAAACCTTGCCCCAACAATGACCAGCTGGGGTCCTCTCACTGACCCTCTCCTGTACCCCAAGCCCGATACCCCAGCACCCACCTGATGAAACCAGGGTTTCAGCCCCCACTTCTCACTTCTTATATGTTTCTTCACAGTGCACGTTACCAGCTGTCATATTTTATATCCGTTTGCTAAACTGCTTCTTGTAGGCCACCCCCACACTAGAATGTGATGACTTGTTCATTTATATATCCCTAGCAACTAGTGCAATGCCCAAAATATAAGTGCTAAACCATTATATGATGGCTGAATGAGCAAATGAGACACAGCACCTGTCTCCAAATGCTCTCCGTCTGGCAGCTGAGCCAGACGGGGACAGTTAGCTGCAAGACAGGAGAAAAGACTTCTGCGGGGGGGGGGGGGGGGGGGGGGGGGGGGGGGGGGGGGAGTGTGGAAAGAAAGCTCCATCCAGACTGGAGGTCAGGGGCCTCTCTGCCCGGGCTGGAGGGGGCTGGGGGTGGACCAAACTGAGATGCTAAAGATGTGGAGCCATCGTTCCACAAACAAAAGCCATTGGGGAGAATATTCCAGAAAAAGGCCAGCTTCAAAGACGAGAAGGATGCTCTCTGGGAAAATGAAAGTTGTTTGGTGTGACAAGATTGAGGAAGGGATGCTGGGCTGGAGAGAGATGGCAGGTCAGACCTCCTTGTGCTCCCGAAGTCCACTGGTAGTTTGGGAGTGAGGAGGAGGAGAGTGTGGGGTGCTTCCAGCTGTGGAGAGAACATGCTGAGGCTGCGGGAAGGGAGGTTCCCTCTGGCTTCTGGGGAGGCAAAGAGGCCTGGAAGGAGGCTCCGTTCAGAGGGGCGCTGGTTCTGAGCCAGGGCTGATGAGGCAGTGGGACCCCTTAGGGGTTCTGCTGGTGGAAGGACACACTGAGTGGGCTGAGTGAGTGGGCTCATTTGATGGGCAGAGGGGCTGCTCAGTTGGTGTTGGTTAGGGTGATTGGAAAGATGAAGAGCCCACAGCCCAGACTCCTGAGCCAATACTTTTTAATTAAGGTTGGATTTAGCAAAAATAAAAATAGATATATGGGACATGAGGCGGAATTTGAATTTCAGATAGACGAGTTAACTTCTTAGTGTGAGCGTGTCTTCAAAAGTAAAATTCCTTTGCATTATCTGGAATTTTCTCTTCAGCAGCCACCGTTCACCCATGCTCATGCCTGATGAAATAACGGTGCCCAATAGCCCTGGGCCTTCCTGAGCCCACGCCCACTGTCAGCCCTTCCTCAGAGTCTTTCTCTGAGTAGCATCCCCAAACTCCATCCCAGACCCTACTGCCTTCCTGCCCATCTGGAAGCTCAGAAGTTGGTCCACCACCTAGGCTGTGTCTGCTGGGAACACTAAGGACAGCTAGAGCAGACCTGGTGGCCCATAACTCCTCTGGCTGACCCAACTTCCCACCTCCACTGGCGTAGTTACATGAAGTGCTACCCCAGAGCCTGGACCTTAGTGGGGTGCAGAGCCACAGGCTAGGGCTGACATTGCAACCATGTCCTCCTTCTGGCTCTGGATTTACTGGTTCTGAGAGGCCAGGTCCTTGGCTCAAGCAAGGCCTCCATTTCACCTGGGTCACCTCTCCCACCCATTCAGTTGTCCAAAGATTCCTCATGTACGTGGAGACCAAACCCAAGGATCTCCATGCTGGACTAACCATGGGGGGTCTGGTGGAGGATCCAGCCTGGAGCCAGAGTGGGAAAGAGGACTTCCCTGTGGTGCAAATGGGGAGGTTTCATGAAAGATGTGATAAATGGAACAGTGGAGGACTCAGAAACTTGGGTGGAGACATGGCCAGCTTGGAGTCGTAGAGTGTAGGGAACGTCATTGGTACAATAGGAGCCAGAGGGTGTGAGCAAGGTCCTTCTTCAAGAAAAGTGGAGGAGGAAGCCACAAGATGGAAGGATATGCCTAAGGAGGAGCTGTGGGTCCAACAGCGCCAGGCCTGGAACCTAAACAGCTTCCCTCAGTTGAAGCTGTTAACAATAACAGGGGCTTTGAAGAGATGGTTTAGGACATAGGAGCATTTGTGCACATGCATGAGATCCTGAGTTCAGATCCCAGCGCCTATGTAAAAAGTCAAGTATGTCACATGAGCCTGGAACCCCAATGCTGGTGTGGGGGGGCGGGGGTGTTGGGTGAAAGTAGAGGATTGCTGGGGGTTGCTGGCAGTCAGCCTGGCTCCGTGATCACTGAGAAACCCTGTCTCAAGGGAATAAGGCAGAGAGTCAGAGAACAGGGCACCCAATATCCCTCTCTGGTTCCAGGACATATGTGCAAGGATGTTGCACCTGTATACGTGTGTGCACATACACCACACACAAAGAGAAATAATTAGAATAAAAATGATAATATAAATCTAGTAATAGCAGTGACCACTTATTGAGGCCTCATGTAGTAAGACTTAAGTGGATTTTCTTTTACTGACTCTTCCAAACAGTTACTACTGTTGTCCCTGCTGTAGGTGAGGAAACTAAGGCACAAAGAGGCTGAACAACTTGCTCACAGTCACAGACCTGGCATCTGATCCCAGGCAGCCTGGCCCAGAGCCTGTACACTCCAGAGCCAGTGAAGGGCTAAGTACATGATTACCCAGAAACACACAGAGGACCTCCTGGGAGGAAGGAGACATGATTACCCAGAAATGTCCAGGAGGATAGCATCCTGTTCTGATTCCCTTTCTGTGGTTCAAGAACATGGTATGTCTTGATGTCTACCCCAAGCAGCTGTTCAGGTGCCAGAAACACCTGGGCCCAAACCCCCAAACATGACCTTGTTCGACTGCACAGAGAAAGAGACAATGGATGTGTGAAAGCCAATGGTGTTGTAGGTCCCAGACTCTCCTACTGGTTGATAGGTCCTCAGACAGGTAGGTAACCGCTGGATTTCCAGGAATGCCTTGGCACACAAGCCAACAGCGCCCCCTACTGTCCATCCTGGGGAAAGCACTGTCTCCCACCTGGTCTGACTGGCAGCACAGATGCTCTCCCATTGTGGGCAGAGTTTGTAGATTTTGAACACACACACCCTCATGCCCACCAGGAGAATCTGGTCCTACACAGTAGGCTAACAGCTATATCCCTCAAGCCCAGCGGGCTCTGCTTTAGAGAAAGACACAGAGGCCTTGTCTTGGCTGCTGTTCTACAAAGCCTGTGTGGGTTAAGGAGGGGGAAGGGCTGGATTTCTTGACCTTTGGAAAGATGGAAACTTGCAGTCATCATCAGTTGCGACTGGCAAAAGGAAGAATGGCCCCAGAAACAGGCCACAATGCTGTTTCTGGAAGTGCTGAGCAGGGTGCAAGGTGTGATCCAGTCTGGCGTAACCTCCCGGCTCGCAGACCATAGCCTGGGCAATGGAGTTGCACCCAGGCATGAAGGACCAGGACGTGCTGCCTTCTGCCTTAGGTAATTCTGGGAGGTGAAAGGGATCCCTTGAGGGTACAGTGGACTCTGGTGTTCCACAACCTGCCCACCACCATCCCACGATGAGCCAAGGCTGTGGGCTGCTGGAAGCAGGAGAGGCTAAGGCTGCAGGCCGGGAGCTGGGTTAATGTGTCATCTGGGAGGAGCTGATTGCCTCCATCTCTGCCTTGGCTTCAGTGTCAGAGTGACGCCTTTGCGAACAGAACCACAGGAAGAGGAAGAAACCTGCAAGACAGGCTGGTCAGTGAGAACGGCACCAGAACCAACAATCTCCTGTCATTGGAGGATAAAGGGACAGACCCAGAGGTCACCTTCGTGCAGTTCAAAAGCAACCCTCTCCTCTGGGCAGATAAGTCCCCAGATCAGCTTAAATGGAGCTGCGGACTCAGCCATCATCCACCCCTTGATCTAGAGACCCTCAGTGACTAGCCCCCTCCCAGTGCCTGCCACCCTGTGAGCTCCTGCAGCCCTACCATAGAGCGAGTTGAAGATGGTGAAAAGGAAGATCTGCGGCAGCAGGAAGACACCAAAGGAGAAGAAGGCCAGGGCCCAAGTGGTGCCCAGGAGCACCGTGAGGCCCAGCACCATGAAGGTGTCCCGGTAGGCCCAGGAGCTCAGCGCCTTATCCGGTGCCCGTAACCTGCACAAAATCCTCAGAGCCCAGGCCAGCACCAGCAGGTTAAACAGAGATGTGAGACCACCGTAGCCCATAACCAGGACCCTGTGTACCATGGGACTGCGCACCCAGCACCTGCAGGACAGGGGGAAAGGTCAGGATTAGCAGGACCCCAAGACCTGCAGGACTCTAAGTGCACCTGAGCCTTGGGGCTGACTCTACCCCTGCCTGCCTGGTCTTGCTGTTCCAGGGATTGTAACTTGCCTGATAGTTCATATGCCAAAACCCTGAGCCTAGCTTCCAATCAGCCACCATGACGGGATCATCCGACACCTCCATCCACTTCCTGAGTCCCCTTCCCTCATCCTGCTGCCTCACCTCCTCCATGCCAACCTGATCAATGTCTTGTAGATCACAGGTCTGGGCTCTCATTCTAGAAGCTTCCTCTTCCACTCCACCCACCACTACCGCCATCTTGCCACCATCTCTGTGTAATGGGATGCACCTCTCTAGACGCTTCCCCACCTAAGCTAAGCAGTACGTGAAGCTAAGAAGTACCCACGGTTTGCTGGGTAGATGCTCTAGCATGAAAGAGCTTGGGAGCAGAAGAGCAGTTAGGTAAATCCCACAGAAGACACCGAACCTGGGGGTGCCTGCTGGGCCCTGACCTGGGCCTAGGACACTTCAAAAGGGGTGCTAATCTTTGCTTCGGTCAGAGCATGCCCCATGGTCAGCACGGGTGATCCCAGGCAATCCTCATGACAGACCAGAAGCAGGCACCTAACCATCTCCATCCTACAGTTAAGACTTCTGCTTAGGAGCATACGCTGGCTGGGGCAAGGGCTGAACTTGAAGCCCCTTGGTCTGGGATCTGAATCTGGGTGCCTATCACAATCATGTATCTAGATATCCCCTCCTGGGGCCCTGATGCTGGAGTCACAGTGTCCTTGAACATCATTTGCAAGAGTCATGCACGTGAGTAAGCAGCATCATGCATCCTTCGCTTTTGCTGCTACAGAATATTCTAGCACGAGGTTCTACCACTGTTCACTACTCCAGCATCCCTGCTATATGACCAGGCTGCGTTTGGAGAGTCATTTCAGTTTAGAGATGCAGACAGATGAAGATAGATAGAAAAGTAGATGATAGGTAGGTAGATAGATAGATGATAGATAGATAGATAGATAGATAGATAGATAGATAGATAGATAGATAGATAGACAGACACTGTGTGGATTAGTATTAATTATCAACAGAACGTAGACCACCTGGAAGGCAGGCCTTTGGACATTATCATATGTTAACTGAGGTGGGAAGACCCTCCCACTGGAATCCCCCCCTGCGTCTAAATCATGGCTCTTTGCCCCTCGGCCATTATGTCACCTTAGAGATCCCAGGCCCGCACAGCCCCTCTACCTCACCAGGCACTCACATGGATACATTCTGGAAGCTTGTGCCATTTTCCTGGCTTTTGGAGAAAGAGATCACGTGGGGCCCATACACTGAGCTCTTGATCACCAGAAGCAGCAGCACCAAGAGAGCTGGAAAGCCTGGAGGGCGAGACAGAGACAGGAAGCCCCAAAACGAGCTGGCTCCAGTCCTTGGGCCTGCTGACTGGGTGGGGGTGGGGGCATGCCACGATGCTGAGCTGCAGCCCCGGAGCCAGCTTAGCGGTCTTGGAAGACCCTCATCTCCAAGATGGTATCAGTGAGGTTCCAGGGCTGAGTGGCAGCAATGGATGCGGTCACCTAAGAGGTGGCAGGGAGCTAACAGGAGGTGGGGTGGCTGGGGAATGTGAGAGGAAATAGAGATCATAACTAGAGGTTATTGAGGTCATGGAGATGTCCATGATGGTACTGCTACAGTAAAGAAGAGTAAGGGGAGGGTGGTGGGGTGCAGTGAAGGTGAGGAAGGTGATGAGGATGAAGGAGATGGGGTGCTGGAAATGGAGGTAAAGGCGGGTGTGGGCAGGGACATGGTGGGGGTGACGGTGGGGAGAGGGGACTGGGGGTGACGGCAGTGCAGAGTGGAGGTGAAGTCACAAGAGTAGAAACAACAGTGTTGGAAACAGAAGCAGACCCAGAGGTGAGGACACACAGGGGCAATGGTGCTGCTGGGGGTGGAGGTGATGAAGTCACGATAGTAGAAACGACAGTATTGGAAACAGAAGAAGATCCGGCTGCGGTGAGGACACGCAGGGGCAATGGTGCTGCTGGGGGTGGAGGTGGCGGTGGAAGAGATGCCATTGATGGAGATGGAGTTAGAGACTGTAGTGAGCACTTAGAAGTATTGAAAATGGCGTTGAGGGGGTTGACAGGGATGGCGGCTCATGGTCACACGGTGGTTGCCTTGATAGGCAGGGGGACTTGGGGTTAGCACCCTGTGCTCTGAAAGATTCAGAGGCAAGTAGATAGATGTCCCTTACCCCAGCCCAGCACGCAGAGCTTGAGCAAGTATCGGTGGATGTAGACATTGTAGACACGCCCCAGCAGAAGGTAGAGGTTGAAGCCTTCGATGGCCATCCAGGTAAGGCAGCTGAGCAGCGCGTAGTGGAGGGTGGCGGCCAGCACCGTGCACACTGACCTGGGCACTGTAGGCAGGGCCATCTGGGAGCTCAGAAGGAAGGTGACGTTCAGGAGCAGAACAGAGCCATGCAGGTTCATGTGGATGCGTGTGACAGACTCACTTTGCTTCCTGTGGATGGAACATGCCCTGTCGGCGGCAGGGCCTGGCTCACAGATGCACAATGATGGGGAAATTGAAGCTAATGGGGAGCGACCCAATAGCTGCCACGCTGTTAGGTTGGCTTACGTCCTGCGGCCCTGCCCTCTGAGTAGCCCCGCCTACCCCAGGAAGCTGGGACACGAAGGAAGATGCGCAGCGGAAGTAGGTGCGCTGAGCGGGCGAGGATTACCTGGAGTGGGCGTACAGTAGTATGGTGAGCAGCGCGGCCATGACAGAGATGCTGCAACCCACCAAGGAGATGTACTCAAGAGGCACCCGTAGCTCAGCGGGCACTGGGTCTCCAGAGAGCTGCTATAGGGCAAGGGGTTGAGGGCCTGAAGCATGGAAATGCCCAGCTCTCTCTGGGCTCCGCCAGAGAAGTCTCCCAGACCTCAGTTCCAAGTCCCTTCCCCACAGCCCAGCCCAGCCCTTCCTTGAATGAAGCCATAGCCTGCACTGTGGCTTTTGTCACCCACAGCCTCCCAAAAGCACACTTATCCCAGTCCAAACACTCAGCTGGGCACCCACCAAGCCTGGATCAAGACTGGGTAAGGGAGGCTCTTGAGTCCATTGGTCTAAAAGCCAGCAAGGCATGAGCCTGAAGGCGCTGGCAGCTGTATTATCCCCTAGGGCATCATAACTGAGGGCCAAGCCAGGACAGAATGCAGAGTTGAGGGACAGAGATTGAATCCTGTCTTGGTATGATTTAGCCCCTGGATCAGTCGTGCCTGAAGCCTACAAACCTTTAAAGGAAAGCCGGTCCCTTGTGACTCAAGCCTGGAAGGGCTGGGCTGACCTGTACCCACCCACCAGGCGAATGGCGGCATACCATGAGAACTGCGAAGTAGGTGAGGTGGTTGCAGCGACAGAGGACCTGAGAGGGTGAAGGCTGCTCTGTATAGCAGCCCTCGGGGCTCCAGGCCCCCCAGCTGTGCTGGCTAGCTCCCTCCTTCCAGAAAACACAGGTCACAGTGTACCCTTCCTGAAATGAGACGTGGGAATCAGTCTGGGGGTGCAGGATGAGATCCCATATGAGGGGCTGGTCCTGGGGCCCATGAGAGATTCAACTGCACCCCGTCAACATTTTGTGGGTGCTGGCTGGGCTTTAACAATCCTAGATACCAGCCCCACCTTCACGGTGAGTTCTCAGTGTCCTGGACAAATGGGCAAGCCTCTCTGAACCTCAGTTTATTCATCTGTGAAATGAACTATACATATCCAAGTCCCAAGGTTGGCAGAAGCAAAAAAGGCCATTCAGCATTCGGGGAGGGGAGGGGCAGTGCTGGCTTTTCCTGTGGCAGATCTTCTACAAACCACTGTTTGCTACCTCCCCCCAGACCCATGATGATGGGAGACTCATTGGCAGCCAAGCCCTAGGATGGACGTAAGGGGTGCGACACAGACACACTATGGAAAGCAGAAGAGGAGGGACAGAGGGAAGGGAGGCCTTAGGGATGCAGGGATTGAATGGAACTGGACACTCATTCCCAAGGGAAAGACAACAGCAAATCTCTGAAGGTGAAAGGGAAGGTTGCTGTGAAGTTGGCAGTGCCAGCCTTCCTGCCCAGACTGAGGCAGGCAGAGCCAGAAAATAGCACTTTGGTTCTTCACGGGGCAGACAGGGACCCAGAAGCAGCAGCCGCAGCAGCAGGAAGAGGAGGAGGAGGAGGACTTGTGCCTTCCGGCTACACTTTCCTGTTCCAGCATCAGCACCAGGGCTACCCCCACCCCCATGTGACCCAGCCTAGCAAATCCACATATCTCATCCTGGACACCGCCTGGTTTAGCCACAGGCACACGAGTCAGTCAAACCCTTTGGAGCACTGGTGGGGAAGAACCTTCCTAGAAGAACGGATGTGAACCCGGTATCTTCAGCATCCATCCCATCTTACCATAGGAATGAAAACATGGCTGAGACTAGAGAAGACTGAGCTCTAACAGTATTATGTCCATGCCTGAAGGCAGAACTCCCCTGGGCATTCCGTTGACAGGGATATATATTGATAGGGACGTATACATCCCCTTTAGTGCTTAAGCTGACTCTCTAGCTCTAGCCACTGAAAGCAAATCGCGACGAAATTCCTTCTCGTTTCTTTACAGAAATTTGCAAAGAACAGATTTAAAGTTGTTTCCCCATATGGTGCCACAGTTTCAGTTTGGCCAAACCGGGGTTGACGGGAAAGTTTCAGAGGCTGGGCCCAACAGTACCAGACTTCGGTTGTGCCAGAAGCTGATGTTGACGGGATTCTGAAGGTTTTTCACAGTCCTGTTATCCAGCTGGGCCCCCAGGACGTAGTTATTGAGCAGGGATGAGTTACTGTCATCCTGGAAAGGCCATAGAAAAGGGGTTAAGTGGCGGGGGGATCAAAGAGATCCTGTGTGAGATCAGAATTCTCATCTCAGTCCCTCTTCCCTTCTGTCTGTCTCCCGTCTCAGCACAGACATTGATGCACTAAGGTCTTGGGTCTCACTTGCAGACTGCAAGCCTACCTCCCTGGGAGGGCGACTATAGATTATGTTTGAAAAGACCTCAGATTGCCTTGAGTCAAGCCTCTGGGCAGGCTAGTGAGGGATCTTCTGGAATAGATTAGGCCTGTGCACTCCTGCCCACCATGATGGACTCCACCCTCGAAACCCATTCTTCTTTCCTTAAGTAGCTTTTGTCTCTCCCTAAAGCAGGTAGGGAAAGCGGGTCCCAGAGTGGCAGTGACCGCCTACAGTTGCACAGTGACAGGCCAACCTGTGACACAGAGGCGTCCTTGGCCACCTTCTGCTGACCTGGAAGAGCTGTGCCGTGAAGAAGTAGACGCAGATGAGTCGGAGGCTGGCAGGCTGGGAGGCCACACAGGCTTTCTTGGTCAGCTCGGCAGGAAATTGCATGCCATGTGGGGCCCAGGCCTGTGGATGGCAGCAGATGAGCTGAGGCCTACTGATCAGAGACCACAGATGCAGTCCCAACACCTTTGGGCTCCCGCCCCATTAAACATTTCCAGACCTCACCTGAGCCCCACTTTTTGACAGCACCCTCTCCTCCCAGACCTCCCCACCCATCTGCATTCCCCCAGAACAGAACCACCGCAACAGCAACCACATATCTGGCCCCATGAACACCAGAGTCCTGCCAGCCCTAGGGACTGGCCCTACACCTGCCTTCAAGCAAAATCAGGATGAAGAGCCTGAACTGGGGGGGTCCTGGGGTACCTCCTCTTTCTGCTCTCCAGACAGCAAAGCAGAAGAGGCAACTCCCAGCAGATCAGGACAGAGCATGAACAGGGAACTGGGGGAAGATCTTGACCAAGAGGCAACTCCCAGCAGATCAGGACAGAGCATGAACAGGGAACTGGGGGAAGATCTTGACCGTAAGCCCCTGCAGGACTTCCCTGGTTGCCTCTGACCTGGGGGACACTTGGCAGGGTGGCACTGGACAGGGAGAGGCCAGGAAAGCTGCAACCCAGCTTGAAGACCAGAGACTGGATGGCGTCTGTCTGCAGCGTCAGGTTGTGCCCGCAGAAACTGGCGTTGAGCAGCATCTGCTCCAGCCGATGGATATACCTGGGACTGGGCGGCAGTGGAGGAGGAGCTGGAGACAGCCTGGGGGTGGGGCCTTCCACCCCCACCCAGCCCTCCCACATTCCATCTCTACTCCTTGCCGCAACCTGCCCTGTGTAACCCATGTCCCCAGCCCAAGTCTCAGAGTTCCTACCTAGGAAATGCAAGGACCTATTTGACTGGTAACATTTCATCAAGGGGCCTCAATAAACTCTGGAAGGGCCGAGGCAAGCCTTTGCTAAAACTCCAGGCCACAGCAAGTGGGTACTCACACAGCGGGGACTCAGTCACCACTAGCTGTATGTGTGTATGGCAGACTCACTTCACTCTGGAAGACGAGGTCCGGCCTCTGGGCCGCTCCAGGTGCTTCATCAAGGTCAGTAGCTCTGATATTGTTTCTGTGGATGGTGGGACTCAGGCCTTGAGCCAGCTTCTGGGCACTCCTCCCCCCAGGAGGTCATCACCTACCTACTGGGATACTTTGAGCAGCCAGAAGACACAGGCAGACGAAAAGGGACACATCCATATCCTCTGCTGGGATACTCTTGGCCTTGGAAAGGGGAGACCACGGTCAGTACCTCTGCCTTCTAGATATTTCTGTAAATACCCCCACCCCAGCCCCCGGCTTTCTTCTTTTCTTCTTCTCCTTTTCCTCCTCCTCCTTCTCCTTCTTTCTTCTTTGTTGTTGTTGCTGTTGTTGAGATAGGATCTTCTGTAGCCCAGGCTGGCCTCAAACGTGCTATGTAGCTGAGAGAGATGACATAGCTCATCACAGTACCCAACAGTACTGAGGATTAAACACAGGCCCCATGTAAGCCAGGCAAGCACTCTGCCAACCAAACTACATCTCTAACCCAGGATCATCAGCTTCTTCGCTGCTTCTCCAACTCCTGTATTCAGGTAAGGAAACCCAGGCTGAGACCAAAGACTCTGTCTTTGCTTGAAGATCGCTAAAGCCAAGAGTCCCTGACTCCAGGAAGTTTGGCCCACTGAGTATAGCTACTCAGCCTGAGAGTCTCCCTGGGGGTTCCCCAGCCTCAGTGGGTGGGGGTGAGGTACTGCTAAAAGTGAGCAAGGCATAATCCTGACCCATCCTGTCACTAACTATACAAATAGGGGTCTTCCCACATCCTTTCCCAAGTTTCTCTCCATGTTGACGAACCTTGCTGAGTGAGTCCAAGGCTCTGGTTCAATCCCCAGCACCTAGGAAAAAGAGGGGAATAGATGAATGAACTTATACCTAAATACAGTGAGATTATGTCTACCCCAAAAACCCTTCCAAAAGGAGACTAAACAGATAAGATAAGCTCAAAGCAAAAGGCTTGGTGATGCACAACTTTAATCCCAGTACTCTGAGGCAGAGGCAGGCAAATCTCTGAGTTCAAGGCCAGCCTGGTCTATAAAGAATTCCAGGACTGCCAGGGCACAGAGAAATCCTTGTCTGGAAAAACAAACAAAGATAAGCACAAAGCTACAAGACAGAAAACGGGGAGGAGGCATTAGGGGGAGGCGGATGACAGCTGAAACTTTCTAGTGACCCCAAGCAAGTGGCTACCTGGGAAATCAATTTGTCCATTTTATCTATTATTGCAATGGGCAGAGGAGGGGCTCATGGGAGAGATATGGGAGCTGGGAGCAAGGAGACACCAGCTAGTTCAAGGCTCATGGCCTTGGAAGCATTTGAGAACAGGAGGCATCAGGGGCCTCTGAAGAGGGGCATGGAAGATGAAGCTAAACACAAGGATTTAGTCAGGTAGTTAGTGGGTAGGGAGGAGATAGCCAGTGGGTAGGGAGGAGATAGCCCAGTGGGTAAGCCCTTGCCACAGAAACAAGAGGACTGAGTTTGGATCCCCAAAACCCATGTAAATACTGGGTGAGCAAAGTGATCATCTGTTATTCCAGCCTCAAAAGACAGGGGATCCCCAGAGCATGCTGCCTAGATTAACCACATTGGTTAGCTCTGGGTTTGATTGAGAGCCCCTGCCTCATTGAGTATGGATAGGAGGGAGGATAGATAGATAGATAGATAGATAGATAGATAGATAGATAGATAGATAGATAGATAGATAGATAGATGAATAAATGTAAAAGTAAATTTGTTTTGTTTTTGATACAGGGTCTCACTATGTAGCTCTGGTTGTCCTGGAACTCATGGTGTAGACCAGGCTGGCCTCAAACTCACAGAGAGCCCCTTGCCTCTGCCTCAGGAATGCTGGGATTAAAGGCGTGGTTACCATGCCTGGTTTTACCACTTTTTTAGTGATAGGGTAACATTATTCATTTAAGCCAAGAATCTATTTGATATAAAAAATCTTTTCTTAAAAGATTTATTTATGAAGGATAAAGAAGATGTGGTACATTTACACAATGAAGAACTACACGGCGAGGAAAAATAATGACATTTTGAAATTTGTGGGCAAATGGATGGATCTAGAAAACATCATGTTGAGTGAGGTAACCCAGACTCGGAAAGACAAACATTATATGTACTCTCTCATAAGTGGCATTTAGACATAAAGCAAAGAAAAACCAGCCTACAAATCACAATCCCAGAGAACCTAGACAACAAAGAGGACACTCAGAGACATACATGGATCTAATCTACATGGGATATAGAAAAAGATAAGATCTCCTGAGTAAATTGGGAGCATGGGAGAGAGTAGAAGGGGGGAGGAAGGGGAGCAGAGATAAATTATAGCTCAATAAAAACAATTAAAAAAAGATTTATTTATTATGTATACAGTATACTGCCTGCATGTTTCCTTGCAGACCAGAAGAGGGCACCAGATCTTATTATAGACAGTTGTGAGCTACCCATGTGGTTTCTGGGAATTGAACTCAGGACCTCTGAAAGAATAGTCAGTGTTCTTAACCTCATAGCCATCTCTCCAGCCCTGACATAAAAATCTTGAATGAAGAATAAAACAATACAGCAAAAATCCCATGTGTCTGAATGAATCTGAAGAATTTTGCTTGGTCCTTTTGCCAAGCAAACAGGATGAAGACAGCCATGACTGGAGGCCACCTGTGCTGCTTCCTGCTTTTGACACATCGTAGCATCAGACCTTGATGCTTCCCAAACTGTATATCTGCGTTGTGACTTCATTCAGAAGAATGCAAACATGAGCCCCAAAGGATGGAAATTCGGAAAGAAAAACAGTTTAGCCAAACTAAGCAAAGCGATCAATCCTTCACACCATTATACACAGTGTACACAGTCTATTTCTGTGATCGTCTGTTTAGAATGTGCCTAACCTGATCAGTGGGACTTACTTTTCACTAAATTACTTCAGGAATTAATCAAAGCTATTAAGGAAAGAATTTTTTAAAAGATAGGGCCAGTGAGATGCTCAGATGGTAAGAGCGCCGACTGCGTGATAAACATCATGACCAAAAGCATCTGGTTGGGGGCATTTCAGCTTACAGCTCACATCCCACCAGGAAGGGAAGTCAGGGCAGGAGCTGGAACAGAAGCCATGAAGGAACATGCCTACTGACTTGCTCCTCGTGACTTTCCCAGCCTGCTTTCTCATAGAACCCAGGACCACCTGCCCGACAGGGGCACCACCCACACTGGCCCTCCCCTCTCATCGTTAGTCAAGCCAGTGCCCCACAGGGCAGTGTGATGGAGACAATTCTTCAACAGGCATTTCCTCTTCCTAAAATGCTTCTAGCTTACATCACGTTGACAGCAAAACAAAACAAAACAAAAAGCAACTACACAGCATTTTGCGCAGGCCTGAATTCCTTCTGCAGAGTGCATGGTGGAAGAAGAAAGCCCACTCCCAAAGGTTATGCCTTGACCTCACATACATGCTGTGGAGGAGTATGAGCGCGAGCTCTTGCGTGCATACACAAACACACACACACACACACACATAAAATAAAATAAATAAATGTTAAAAAATAAAGCCACGCACATGTCCACATGTATGCACACTTTTTGTGCATAATTAATTAATGTGCTGGCTAAAGTCATTTGGGAAGAAGGAACCTCAGCTGAGAAAATCATCCTGCCAGACTGACCTGCGTGGCATTTCCTTTGCTGATGGATGTGAGATTTTCCAGCTCTCTGTAGGAGGTGCCACCCCAGGGTTGGTGGTCCTAAGTGCTATAGGAAAGCAGGCTAAGGGCTGGAGATAACAGCTCAGCAGTTAAGAGTACCGAGTGTTCTTCCAGAGGACCTGGGTGGGTTCAATTCCCAGAACCCACATGGTGGCTAACAACCATCCGTAATTTCAGTTCGAGGGGACCTAACACCCTCTTCTGGCCTCCCTCAGCATCGAGCAGATACAAGGTGAATAAATATACAAGTGAGCAAAGCATCAATACACTTAATTTTTTTAAGTTTAAAAAGAAAGAAAGAACCAGGCGGTGGTGGTGCACGCCTTTAATCCCAGCACTCGGGAGGCAGAGGCAGGTGGATCTCTGGGAGTTTGAGGCCAGCCTGGTCTACAAGAGCTAGTTCCAGGACAGGCACCAAAGCTACAGAGAAACAAAGGAAAGAAAGAAAGAAAGAAAGAAAGAAAGAAAGAAAGAAAGAAAGAAAGAAAGAAAGAAAGAAAGGAAGGAAGGAAGGAAGGAAGGAAGGAAGGAAGGACGAACTCGGGCTGAGTAAGCCATGAAAAACAAGCCAGAAAGAAACATTTCTCCATGGCCTCTGTTTCAGTTCCTGCTTCCTGGTTCCTGCCTTGAGACCCTGCCCTAATTCCCCTTCATGACAGACTGTGAACTATAAGCTGAAATAAACCCTTTCCTCCTCAGGTTGCTTTTGGTTATGAGGATTTGTCACAGCAACAGAAACCCAAAGACAATAAATAAAATAAATTCCAGCTGGGTAGTGGTGGTGCATGCCTTTAATCCCAGCACTCGGGAGGCAGAGGCAGGTGGATCTCTGTGAGTTCGAGGCCAGCCTGGGCTACAAGAGCTAGTTCCAGGACAGTAACCAAAGCTACAGAGAAACCCGGTCTTGAAAAACCAAATAAATAAATAAATAAAATTCTAAAGATTACAAAAATAAAAAGAACTGCAGAATATTGCTCAGTGGTGGAACATTTGCCTAGCATATGTGAGGCCTTGGATTCAATATTCAGTACTACAAAAAGAAAAAGAGAGGGCTGGAGAGATGGCTCAGTGGTTAAGAGCATTGCCTGCTCTTCCAAAGGTCCTGAGTTCAATTCCCAGCAACCACATGGTGGCTCACAACCATCTGTAAAGAGGTCTGGCACCCTCTTCTGGCCTTCAGGCATACAGACAGAATATTGTATACATAATAAATAAATAAATAAAGGAAGGAAGGAAGGAAGGAAGGAAGGAAGGAAGGAAGGAGTTAGCCTGCAGATGGAAAGATGGCTGCACAGTTAAGACTGTTTGCCCTACAATCATGAGGCCTGGGATCCAGCTCCCATGTAACAAGCCACTGTCCCCACAAGCACCTGTACCCCAGTGCCAAGTGGAGAGAGGCAGGGAGATGTCTGGGATTTGCTGCTTTCCAGCCTAACTGAGGCATAAACGTCAGGTTCAAGAGGCTCTGCCTAAGAGGAACAGTTAAAGAGGATGCAGGATGCCCCCCATCTTTTTTGGCCTCTGTGTGCATGCATAGGCAAACTCTTACACACAGAAACAAATGAAAATCTTTCATAAAAATAATGGGCTCCAGCAAGATGGCTCAGTGGGTAAAGGCACTTGCCACAAAAGCCTGGTGACATGAATTCAGTGCCTGCAACCCAAGTAAAGGTTGGAGAGAACAAAATCCATGGCATTGTCCTTTGACATGGACGTTTCAATAGCATGTGTGCATCCCACTCATACACACGACCTACAACTGTAACACAGCCATACCACAAAAACTCAGCAATTCAGAGAAATGTATTTCTTTAAAAATCTATATACTGGCCAGGTATGGTGGCACATGCCATTAATCCCATCACTTGAGGTGGAAGTAGGTGAATCTTTGTGAGTTCTGGGACAGCCTGGTCTACCTAGTGAGTCCTGTATCAGTCAAAAACAAAACAAAACAAACAAACAAACAAACAAAAAAAACCCAAGAAACTATATACTTAGATATATCTCAAAGGAATTCAACTGAGTATACAAAAAAAAATCTCAAAATGTTAAGACTTGTGATGTGACTAGCAGAACATGCTTGAAATGATAATTACAGAGACACAGATGAGATCAGTGGTTGCCATGGGCAAGGGAGGGCTCCTGTGCGTCTAGGAAGGTGGAACAGAAAGGGTCCCAGAAAGCGAGGACCCACATGGGGATGGAGCAGTTTGTGCTGTCACTGTGTTTGTTGACTGCTCCTGCTCCGGGAGTTTACATTTGATAAACTGCATAGAACTTGATCCCCACCCACACTGTACTGGTGTGCAAGCAAACACATACTGAGCTGGTGATCTCCGAGAACCGCACTAATATGAATTTCTTGAGCTAGAGAAATTCTTGAGCTAGACAAAACTGGGTGAAGAACACACAGAATTTTTCTGCATAATTTTTTTTGCAAGCACCTGTGGATTTGAAATTAACAGTTCTCCCAAAATTAACAGTTAAAAAGGGAAAACCAGAGACGTAGCTCAGTGGTAACTGCTTAGCAACCACGGGGCTTAAGTTCGATGATCAGTCTTGAGAGAGTACAATGAATTAAATTATTTCTTTTGAAAGTAAAAAATGCACAACAGAGCATTTTGAGTGACAGAGATTCTGAGAGTGATACACCCCGGGGCCAAGGTGTGGCTCCGTGGCGGGGGCAATTTCCTAGTACACACAAAGCCCTGAGGATCTTCAGCACTAAAGGAGAAAAATAATGCTTTACGGTTGTAAACACCGGAGCCTGGAGAGACAGTTCAAGCAGTTAAGAGCGCTGGCTGCTGTTCCAGAGGACACATGGCAGCTCACGAGCACCTGTAACTCTGGTCCCAAGGGATCCAGCACCCTCTTCTGACCTCCCTAGACACCAGGCTCGCAGTAGGGCATAGTCATGTATGCAGGCAAAACATCCATACATATAAAAAGATTTTAAGGTTGTAAAACAATGTAATTCCATCCTTGCAAAAGCAAGCTGCCTTTCTTACATGTGCAAAAGTGGAAGGTGTACATCTGAGTAGGAACGACATCACTTCTCTGCCTCCCTCGTCTGGGCTCCTCAGACTTACCCATATGCTACACTTGCACGTCTCTGTTCGTAGTTATCTGGACAGCTTAGACATTTCCATCTTTCAAATAAAAACAGCAAGTAAAGAAATAACCACAAAAAGCTGTAAAACACAAAGCAGTCCTCCTTTCTGCAAGCCCAGCTACTCTGTGGCCTGCGGGAGACTCCCTTTCTTGGAGTCTGTTCAAGCTAGCTTCTGATGTTTCTTTAAACAAATGTAGACAGATGAGACTTCTGCCATCAATGATACAAAGTGGCGCCTGGACCGTACTAGTCTGCCTTCCGCTCTTTCTCTTGAAAACAGATCTGGGACAGTTTGCTACAGCTGTATCCAGGGAAGCCACCTCTCCAACTGCATGTGCTAATGCTATCTTAGGGATGAGTCAGGATTTAGCTCACAGCCCTCTGTGACTAACATTTAATGGGGCAGGGATTCTAAACGCTTTGGCCGGTTCTAGTCTTTTGCCTTTACAAACAAGCAGCCAGGGTAGGGAGTTGTTCAGTGGTAGAGCACTTGCTGAGCACAACCAGGCCCTGGGTCCCATCCCCAGTGCTGCCAGAAACAAAAAAGAGTTGTCACTGTGTGTGTGTGTCACCCCAACATGTGCAGGTTCACCATTTGCACAATGGGGTACAATGTACCTATCGCTTTATAAGAAGTTTCTGTAACAGGAAAATCAGCCCCTGTCTATTACATAAACACAAATAGTTTCTAGTCTGATATTTATTTTCTTTAACATCACATGGCCTTTTATTTTGTGATGTAGAAGCACCATTTTTAATCTTTTGATTTGTTTTGGTTTGGGTTTTGAGGCAGGGTCACACACTGCATAGCTAGCCTCAAACTCACTTTGTAGCCGAGGCTGGTCACCATCCTAGTATCCTCCTGCCTCCACTTCCCAAGTTCTGAGATCACCGGCATGCACCCCTAAACCTGGGTTTTTGTGGTGGAGGGAATCAAATCTAGGCTTAGTAAAATGTTAGGCAAAGCACTCTACAAACTGAGCTGCATTCCTAGCCCACAGTTTTCCCTAATACTATATTAATATATCAGCCAGTTTTAAGAGAGGAATTGAGCTAGGTTGCTAGATGGCATGATTCACTTACCTTCTTGAGATCTAAGAGAAGGGATGCAGGGCAAGCTTTGGGAAGACTGAGGAGGCTCTGGAAGGGACAACATGAGCTGTTTCCATTGAGACAGCCAGGACCTGGTAGTGCAGAAGACCTCAGCTGACAGAACTATTAGCAGAGAAACTGAAACCCAGTGGGCAGAAGTATTCGACCTTGAGGGGCTGGGCCCTGAGGCTTGGTATCCAGGCCTTAGCTATACCACTCCCAAGCAGACACAGAGAGAGAGAAGCAACCTGACTCCCTGTATAAAAATCAAGGCCAGAGCAGAAGTCCTCCCTCCCAAACAGACAGAAGTTGCGGTTTCTACCTCACTCCCAGGGTAAACCACTACCTTTACTGTAACCTCCAGGTACCTTTCCTGGCCCTGCTGAGCAGGACCCCATGAACCACCACCCTGTCCCCTCAGCCATCAGGTTTCCAACCCTGTAACTCATCACTTGAAACCCCCTGAGAAACAGAAATCCATGTCCTAACTTTCCAGATGGTTCCAAGAGACTGCAAAACAACATAAGCCATGAAAGCAAAAGGTTTGCTTGGGGTTCAGTGGCAGCCTGGTACCTAAGCTAGGACCCAAACCTGGGCTCCAGGCTCTAAAGCCAGCACCAGCACCAGCTTCCCAAAGGTGGCTGGAGAGTCAAGTGGAAGTAGACAAGACTTATTTTAGGTCAACGGGGAGATTAAGATATCTGTGAACAAAGGAAAGATCTTAGAAAGCTCTGGATTTAATAAGCAGCTCCACTATCCAGTGCCCAGGCTGTGTGACACTGGGTTAAGAACTTGGGCTCAGTCAGGTGGTGGTGGCACACACCTTTAATCCCAGCACTCAGGAGGCAGAGGCAGGCAGCTCTCTGTGAGTTCGAGATCAGCCTAGTCTACAAGAGCTAGTTCTAGGACAGGCTCCAAAACTACAGAGAAATCATGTCTCAAAAAAACAAACAAAAACAAAAACAAAAAAAACTTGGCCTCAATGACCTTCCAAGTTTCTCATGTGTAAAATATGGCCAAAGCGACCTACTTCCCAGGAAGAACTCAAATAACCCCTTCCAGAATCCTTACTTGTGGGAATCAGGCCCTGCCTTAGGTCTGGTTCTCTAACTAAAGGCCTTGGGCAGGAAGGCATCTGTGCCTGAGGCTTGGGAGCCCCTGTTTCCTCCCCAGAACAGATCACAGATCACGCACCCCACCAGCAGCACCAGGGCACGCCCAGCACAATGTTCCTATATACATGCTCCCTCACACCCCTGCCAACCACAGGAAGGGACCCTGATTCTGGCTTCCTCTAGCTGCCTCTGACCTAGGTGAGAAATATGCCAGTGTGGGTCAGCAAACCACAGCCCACAGAGATGCCACTATGAGCTGGTGCCACAGCTGGGCAAGGAGTCGACTTTCTCTGAGACACTGTGTCCAGGCTGCTCAGGAACTTCACGAGTTCCGATTCGCCGGGCACAGAAGCAGAGCATCTAACCGTCCACACTCTGTCACCTAAGACTCACGTTACAGGGCTTTATAGATGAGAAACTGGGGTCCCAGAAAGCTAGGACCCAAAGCAGCCATGCCTTGACTCCAGCAGCTACTTCTAAAAGCAAGGGTTTCTTTAGAATTAGAAGGAGGCTCAAGACGCCTGTGATGTCCTGAGGAAGGGGCTCGTGGGATCTGCGGATGGGAACCAACCGGTGAGAGGGTGGAGGGGTCTAGGGGACTAACCTGTGGCAGCTGCTGCTGTCAGGTCTTCACAGCTGTCTTGATTCAGCCTTCCAGCGTCTTCAGGGAGAAAAGGAAGTTGGGGGAGCAGAGAGCTGTGGCTTCTCTGTTCACCTCAGCTCCCTTGTCCCCTCGCTTCTCTAGTCTCACTTCGCCCTATGCTCACGCCTCACTTCTCCTTTCGTGGTAGCAGCCTCTGTTTCCTCTGAGCTGTTGGCCAAACCAAGGTCTTCTTGAGCTCACTCTGGGGCCCCTCCCGTACTTCCTGGGAGGGGAGTGGGGTAGGGGTGGGCTGGAACTCCAAAGATGTGCCGGGAAGGGCAGCGTGGTAATGTGGAGGGTTTGAGATGCTGGCTGGCAGCTCTGCAACCTTGGGCAAGCTATGGCTCCTCCCTAAGTCTCAGTTTCCCCATTTATAGAAAGGGGGAAATGGCCTATGACTGCATGACAACCCGTGAGATCGATCCAGAGATCTAAGGCTGGGAAATGCTGGGTTCAAGTTCCAAGCTTCCCATGGGCTAGGAGAGTGGGGGTAATGTCTTTAAACTGACTGAGCTTCAATATCCCCTCTGTAAGATGGAGGTGCTGGTAGTAATATCTTGGGGTGGGGACATATCAACAGTAACCGACAAGTGTTACAGGTGCTGAGATGATCACCTAGAGAGGATAAAGGCCTAGCTCCAGGTAGCCCAGGGCAAAGCTCAGAAAGTATGGCCAGAGCAGCAGGGGAAGCGAAGCTGACCAGCCTCTCTCTGTTAGCCAGAACTCTCACAATCCTACCCTATAACACCAGCCTCGCTCTCTACAGAGCCCTAAAGAGATGAGGAAGTGATTCAGGGATGGAGAGTAGAGATGCTGTCCCTTGCCCAGTCTATCCAAATCCCTGGGGAAACCATGACCCAACAACATGCCCTTCTACTTCTGGGGATGGAGGGGAGGATAGAGATCCAGCCAAAGGGAGAAAGCAGAGAGGTCCCAGCACAGTGTCTCTCCTCTCTGCCACCCAAACCAGCTCACAGCACAGCTCACAGTGGGTGCAGTGGGCTCAGAGGGAAAAAGGGGCACCGGCCCCCCCGCCCCCCGCCCAGATGCCATCAAAGGTTTTTTGCAGGAACCCTGCTACAACTGTGTCTCAACTCCTTGGCCACACTCCCACTGGGTGACTTAGATAAGCATTTACCCTTTTTGGATGTTGTTGGGGTTTTGTTTTGTTTTTTGTTTTTTTGTTTTTTTTTTTTTTTTCTTTGTTATTGTCTTTTGTGGTGCTTGGCCTCAGCCTCAGGGCCTTGTGCATGCAGGGCAAGTATCTGCACACTGAACCACACCCCTAGCTCCCTTGTCTCCTTACTTTAGCTTTTTGTTTTGGTTTGGTTTTTGGCCATTATAACCAGACATTCATCTACTGGCCTTTCATATCAGCGGTCTCTCTGGCTGCCTCCAAGACAGAACTGAACGGCCAACTCCTTCCTGCTCCCCAGTGAGCAGTTGCCCTGAAAGCATAGATAGAGCTCTGATCCCAGGTCCCCATAGTCCCTCTGTTTCCCACCTCACTGTTCTTGCCTCAGCTTGGGATGCTTGTTACCCCTGCATAGAACACGTTAGAGCTCACCTTCAGACATTCTCGTGTTCAGACGCCAGAAACGGCTCCCTATTGCCTTCTTGATCTGCCCTCCAGCCAATTCCTACTCCTTCCCAGCTCTGTCCATGCCAGCCACATTCAGCCACGTCTGCTCTGCACCAGCTGTGACACTCCTGCTCCCCGCAAACCATTGTGGAGTCTGCAGCATGAAGAGACAAACTGGTGCCTTCCTCAGAGGGGCATGAGGTCTTCGCCATCCCTTGACGAGGGCGTCCCCCCTCCCCATGGGGGATCTGTGAAGGACGTGAGCCTGACTGGACCTGAGAACAGGCGATTAACACCAGGAGTGAGTCATTTGCATTCCAAATCTTCCCCCACTCTTGGTGGCGATCAGAAGCCTCCAATCCGAGACAAAATGTCTTTAGCCTCTTTCTGATGAGCACAGACGTTCTGGCCTGCTGTGTTCCTCCTGATCTGGATCAGTTCCCCTTCCTAAAGCAACCTGGCAGTAGCCATATTGAGGCAGCGCTCGGTGGGGGCATCTAGTCACCATAGCACACCACAGCCCAGGAGTTCTGGGTTCTAGTCAGCCTTCTGGAGTAGCTGGGACTACCTCTGTGCCTGCTGGGGTTTAGGTTTTAGGTTTTCTAACCCAGATGTATATTCCCTCCCCTGCCCCATATTTTTCACTCTTTTATTAAACACAGAAAGCAAGATCCCTAAGCTGAGTTTGTTGGTGGGCACATTCCTATAACTCCAGCACTCAGGAGGGCGCCACAGGAGGCCTTCAGTTCAAAGCTGAATGAGCACTGGTCTCTCAAAAAAAAAAAAAAAAGAAAGAAAGAAAGAAAGAAAGAAAAGAAAAAAGAAAAAAGAAAGAAAAGAAAGAAATCTCAATTCAATTCTCAATTTAAAAGTTTAACTGTGGTAACATATACATATATATCACAAAATTTGCTATTTTATCCATTTATAGCTATAGAGTTCTGCAACATGAAGTAATACACTCTTGTGCAGCCAACACCATTGTCTATCCCCAAGCCTTTTTGGTTTTCCCAAACACAATGCCCCTTTCACCAGACCCAAAGGCCTGCAATCACTCTTTCTTTTCTTTTTTTAAATTTATTTATTTATTTGAGACAGGGTTTCTCTGTGTAACAGTTTAGCTGTCCTGGAACTTGCTCTGTGGATCAGGCTGGCCTCGAACTCACAGTGATCCACCTGCCTCTGCCTCCCGAGTGCTGGGATTAAAGGTGTGCCAACACCACGCCTGGCTGAAACACTCTAATGTGTCTCTATAAGTGCAACAACTGTAAGGCTCTTATAACCAGGATCACCCAGTGGGTGTGTCCTTCTCTGACTGGCTGACTCCACAGTGCCCACTATCGAGAGTCAGTCATGTTATACTAAATGTCCTTCCAGATGGAGCTGGTGGCATGTGCCTGTGATCCCAGCATTTGGGAGGCCAAGGCAGGAGGACCAGGAATTCAAGGTCGCCATTAGCTGTGTACCAAGACTAAGGCCAAAGTGAACTACAGGAGCCTGTTTCCTGTCCTCGGGGGGAATAGGCAGTAAAATCAAAGGCTCCAAGCCAGCCTGGGCTATATAACCTTTGGGAAAACTGTCCTTTTAAGATGTTTAATGATACTCCACTGTGTATAGGCACAGTTTTTCTACCCATTCACCTGTGGGTGGGCAGGGTCTCCGGCTGCTTCCTGACTGCTGTTAACACCGCCAGTGCACAAGGGTGAACAAACAATCTTTTTGGACAAAGAGAATGTTTCTAGCCAAATTTTATTTATTTCATTTTGTTGAGATAGGGTCTTACTATGTAACCTTTGGCTGGCTTGAAACTTACTATGTAGACTAGGCTGGTCTTGAACTCAGAGACTTGCCTGCTTCTGCCTCCTGAGTGTTGGGATTAAAGGCATATGCCACCACACACAGCTTTCTAACTAAATTTTAAGAGCATTATTTTGTTTGAATGCTCTTCATTTTTATGGATTTTCTTCTATTTATAGCAACTTATACACGGATCTTTTATTTACTCTAGTAATAGGAAGCATTCCCTTAAAATATACTTACATTCTAAAAAGTAAAATGACTCAAAAAAAGTCAATGTGTTGATGGCAAAGATAACAGCAGGGGTATAGAAGGGATAATACAGGCCATTATCAGTCTCCAGTATCTTGATTCTAAAAGACAGAACCCCGTGTCCTGTCCACTGGTGGGGGAGGCTAAAATCAGATTAGTATTTCACCAGAGATGCCTGGAGAAGTGACAGTGGCCAACCTGAGAGATATGGGCTCTGTGACTTCCAGGGTGAACCTAAGCCAACCAATGTTTCTGATATAAACTGGGTTCACCATAACATGACAGACACCCAGTACGCAGGATAGCTGTGCAGCTAGGTAACTGGTGGGGACTGTCCAGCCTATGGCTAGCATATACTAGCTTTTCAAGAGTGAGTGGCTCCCCTCACACACCCTATGCAAAACACACACACACACACACACACACACACACACACACACACCCCAGGGCGGTATTCAGCACTTCTTCTCCAAAGAGAGAGGGCTCAGTTGTGATGAAATACACCATCAGCCTCCCACCATTTACCACCTCCAAACACTAGGGAAAGAGCTCTTGATTCAGGGCAGTCACCACTGGGACATCCTGTCTCAAAGGGACAGCTCACTGCTGTGAGATCCTATCTGAGCCAAAAGCCAATCTGACTTTTCATTTTCCCCACTCTAAAAGGAAGACATCTTTGCCCTGAGTTTTCAACGTGTGGCTCTCCCAAGTTGCACCTGGACGGGAAGCAGAGGGCAGCCCCCAGAGGGTCTGCAGGCTGGTAATCTGTTGACGCTAAACACAAGTATTCCCACCCAAACACGTCTCCGGCAGATTACAGCGGCTGTTGAGCGTCCGCCACACACTACCCACACAGCAAGTGACAAGTGAAACTACAGAACTTGCAAAATCTGTGGGATTTCACGAAGTCGGTGGAGGCGAAGCAGAAAAGGGAGCAGAAGACCACAGAGTGGTCTATGGGGGAAGTGACTGCCTTCAAAAACAAGTACTGAACTCTCAGAAGATGCTGAGGAGCTGGCTCAGAGGTTAAGAGCACATGATGCTGTTTCAGAGGGCCCCAGTTTGGTTCCCAGCACCCTCCTGGTGGCTCACAACTATCCGTAACTCATTTCAGGGGATCTGACCCCATCTTCTGACCTCCGAGAGCACCAGATACACACATGGCGCTCTTGGGGGGGGAGGGGGGGGAGAAGGATTCAAAGTGATCCTTGTTTCCGAGGCAGCCCTTGTCTGTTTTGTAAGATAGGGTTTCTCTACAATAGCCTTGGCTGTCTTGTAACTCACTATATAGGTAGCACAGGCTGGCCTCGAATTCACAGATGCTGGGATTAAAGTTCCCAAGTGTTGGGATTAAAGGTGTGCAACACCATACCTGACTAGCCCTGATGGTTTTGGGGGAAAAAAAAATTCTTACAGCCAATCAGCTAGGAAGGATGCTCCTGCCCAACTTCCTAAGAAAAACCATCTTCAACACTCATACTTGATTCATTCTTCACAAACTATTAAGCAC